AATTAAGGGATTAAGACTTTTATTAGTGGCATCTTAAACACAACATTTGCAGCTGAGAATAATATCATTTGGTAGTTTCGAAACTTCTTACTTCTAACCTCCAAACAAAAAAAAAATTAAAAAAATATAACTAAGCAAAAGCTTGATCCAAAATGTCTGAAAAAGGACGCGTAGTTTTTCTCACAGAATACCCCACCAACCTCCAATCGATACCTAGCATCGATTCTCCCCCCCCCCAGCTTCAGTTTTTCTGAACTCCTGTACCCCACCAACAAGAGAACGGAAATCCCCTTTATTGCCTTGACCTTCAATTATGGCTGTGTTCTGCCCCATAGTGATGATGAAAAATTATTTCTTATGACCATTAAACGTGATTTCATGTTTGCATTAAGCCTATGATTGCGTTTACTTTTGACAGCGTTACACTGTTTGACCCACAGAACTTCTGTCTGATTACCATCTGTACATTTAAATCTGCCAAGTTGATAATAATATTTTAACCATTCATTTAAATTAGTATGCAATAAAGGAAACGATGAGAGAAATGAAGTTTTTTATATTGAATTCTTGATTATCTATGTTGTGGATTATATGTACGAATATCTATGTTGTGGATTATATGTACGTTGTGGATTATATGTGAATTCTTGATTATCTATGTTGTGGATTATCTGTAAAGCTGTAGCCGCCCAAACGGGATTGTGATTATTTGCCGTCCAAACGGACTCCGACTACCGTACCGAAGAGCGCGGGTTTGAATCCGGAGAAGGCATGAATGTTGTAAATGTATAGTGCCTTTGCGGCATGACGACACTAAATATGTGTATTACTATCTGGAAAGTACTGTTGGTATATGCTATGCTAGAAATAATTTAAGTGGGGTAGTTAAGGACATAATAATAAACGTTTTTTCTGGAGAATTTTGGTATTTCACACGTCATAAAGTCTTTAATTTTTCTTTCAGTTTATAACAGTTTATTAGTGCAATATAACAAGCCATTTCACAAACAAAATAATTTAATATACATCATATAATATAATTTTAATTACAACAAAATATAATTTTAATATACAACAAAATAAGCACCAGGAAATGGTGATTAATAGTGCATTAATTACTTTTAATAAGATTAAGAATGAGCCGCACATTCGATGCAGGGATTTTTAATAGTAAGCATGCATATTATAAATATAATTAATCGAAGACACTTATAATTACATGTATACGTCTGTTACAGAACTTTACTCTAAATCTCTTAACTGATTATCTGCCCGCTGTTTCATTTACTTCCATTATAATGTATGATGTTAGTGAAGGCTATATTATCACTGCCACTTGAATTGAAAAATAGCTGTCGTTAGTTGATGTAATGTTTTATTTTTTTTAATTTGTTAATCACAAGATGAGCATAAATTGATTCTGGCCTGTCTGTAAAATAAGTGAAAATAACATATACAATTCTTATTCAATGGCTTAATAAATTTCAAGTGGAATGTATATTGTGGTTTAAATGAAATTATTCATTAGAGAAAATCTAGTGTTATTCATCATATCGTTTAATGATGCTTATCATCGGCTTAAAGTCGTCTTTTAAGTAACTTTAACTCTTGGAAAAATTTTAAGACCCAGTTAAGACACTCAGAACAGGAGGATACACACTGGAGATTTTTTATAAATTCCGGTATCCTGATTAGAAAATTTAATTAGCATTCCTTTACCAGGTATCTGCGCGATATGTATTGCTGGTGTAAATTTTTAAGTAAAATTAAAACAGTATACTTATTTATTTTTGAACGTCTGCATTTTTGAGTATACATATATAATTTTACGTTTATTTCATCTAAAAAAAAAGACATTAAAGAAAATATTAAAAGTAACGAAGATTTCTGAAATCTCATTGAAAAAAGTATATTAATTGTTGAAGTTGTGACAAATTTTCCAACAGAAGTTTAAAAGCTTAAAAAATTTCATTTCATTCCTTTCCTGTTTTGCTGATTTCTCTACGCCACGTTTTATAAGCTTGATGTAGTTGTTCGAATCAAATATACGAGTGTTAATTACATGAACAGTTCAAGTTGGGCCAGATTTGTCATAAATGAGAATTATTATACATGAGTAAGTCAAATGAAAACTTCAGATATTTTTACATGTGATTCATCGAACGGAAGCGGAACATATGTATCATTTTCGACGTAGTCTCCCGAACATTCAATACATTTCCTCTAGCGTACAGAAAGAACGTAAGATTCCGCTAGGAAAAAATTCCTATAGTCGTATGCGCAGTCACTGGTGCACCTCTTTATCGGAACAAAATTTCTTTTCTCATATAGCCTATTTGAGTGGTTCAAGCATGTCGTAATCACTTGGCGCAAGATCTGGTGAGTTTGGCGGGTGAGGAAGAGTATCAAAGTGAAATTCAGTGATGGTTCACGAAACGTATGAGTGAACTGTTTCACGAACTGCATGAGGTCATGCATTGTCATGTTGCAAAATGACATCTGTAGTCAGACGTCCACGTGGTTTTATTGTGATTGCAGTCCGAAAGTGATTTTTCAGCATATCGGCATATGACGCCCTGATGATGGCGTTTGCCTTAGGCGTTTAGTTTTCCAAGATAACACCTCGTTCATCGCAAAAGAGAGTCAGCATAACCTTTCCCGCAGATGGCTGCATCCGGAACTTCTTATGCACTCCTTCTACCAGCCTCTCTCACTCAGCCTCGGACGCTTGACACTGCTGTATGTACTCTGACTGCTCTCCGGAAGATAACGAGTAAAGGCCTTTTCTCACCCTTCAACTTCTGCAATATGCCATACTACTTCTCTTCGACTCTACTCGTCTTAGATTGCTTATCATCTTCTACAATATTCATGCTATTTTTCCTGACTACTGCCAGTAATTGCCTTACGAACTTTCTTCACGATATGCTTAATATTCGAAAAAGGATCTATTCTTCTACACTGGGATAGGGCTTTGCCCAGACGCCCAAGTCACATGACGTTCGTTCACCGAGGAACTTCATGTGTTTTGGGTGATGAGGAATGGCTCCATTTCTTGTTTGCTCGCTTGGTTCTAGTTTGGTGGTAGTGAACCAGGTTTCGTCGTCTTAAATGATTATCACAAAGAAGCCATTATCTTCTGCCTCAGCGCGCTGCAAAAGTTCTTCGCAGGAGATCAATGTGTCGCTCTTTTACATCTGGAGTGAGATGCCGTGGCACCCACTTTAAATACAGTGTGAAACTTAAGCATGTCGTGAATAATGTGATGTGCTCAGAAATGACTAATGATAAGATTTTCGGTTATTTCATGTACACGGCGATTGTCCATCACAGCTGCTTCAGCTTCTGCAATAGACTCTGGTGTCACAACGCGGTGTGCCTGACCCGGGTAAAGAGCATCTGCCGAAGTCACGCCGTTTCTGAACTTCCTACGCCACTCATATACTTACTACAATAACAAACATACCTCATCATACTGAACTTTCACTTGCCGATGGATATCAATAGTTTTCGTACCTTCACTGCTGAGAAAACATACGCTAGAACGTTCTTCTTCATTGGTGCATGTCGCTAACGGGGGTAGCCATTTTAAACTGATATTGTGGTAGCGTTTCTCTTGTTTGCAGTATTCTGGCACGTGTTTGACATTCTTTAAAATATTGGCAAATGTACAGCTAACTTACAGAACAGTGTCGCCGAAAATCGAATGTTTATTACGTTTTTAAGATTTTCATTTAACTCCTCTACATATTATTTCATAATTCATGTTATTCGAATTGAAGACATTTTATTTTTAGGTAAAGCCTAATGGGTTATGTCTGTAATTGCCCTTCTCCAATCCTTTTAGTGATTACGATGGATTAGGTACGAGAAGAAATCGCATTATTTTTTAGTTTTGCTAACTCTGAAAATTTGATATCAGCGTGCTTATTCACTTGGTATAGAATCTAGTTAAAAGTTTTTGTAAGTGATCAATTAAAAGTGCTTTCGGATTTTTATTTTTCTCAAACTTGTCTTTATTTATGGCATAAATTCATCGTATAGTTGTTTTCCCTAAATAAGCACTGTATGTTAGTTGTTTTGCATTTAAATTTCAAAATGTTGAATATTAGTTGAAAGGTTTTATGTTTTCTATGACGCTTACACCTTTATCCGAGGTTATTTGTTACTCTATAATATAACTAAGTTTGTTTATGCAAATCGCTAACATTGTTTTTACAGATTTTAGCAGTTTTGTTTGACATTCTCATCTTATTTCATAAAATATAATCTTACGCGCGCTGTGTTAATCAAAGAACCCCAATAGTGGGGTATTATTGTAAAGGGATATTATGTAGTTTATTTTGTCTAACATTATTCGCAGTCGCTGATGTGTCTGTTTTCTGGTGCCACTAGCGGCAGAGCGTTTAAGTCGCTGAACTATTTCAGGATAGTTCGACCCGGGCTTGAATTCTGGAGAAAGGGGTGGCTGCATAGGCGTTTTCGTGCTTTTCCTCATATATCACGTGGATACAAGCCAGTTTTCCTGAGATAGTCTTTCACCAAGATATCCCTTAAGCAGATCTCCTTCATGTGCTTTGTCATAGTCTAATAAATCCGATCCATTTTTATTTATTTATTTATTTATTTTTTTAAAATCTTTTGGATTCATCATTATTTTGAGCATCATCTCTTTTTTTTTTTAATTATGTAACTTAACAGATTTATGCGGGAGGATGGTAAATTACATTATATATGAAAAACATCGAATTTCATTTATTTTTTAATTTATACGAAAATAGAGCTGTAAATATACTTGGAATTTTTAACTTTTATGAAGTTAAAAAGGTAAGACCTAGCTAAAGGCGAAAGTGTTTTCCTATACGATGTTTTAGAATATAAATTTATATGATTTGCTGACAATTATAGTTCCTATTTAATATATGTATATATGAATAACGATTTGCTGTTCATATTCTGTTTCTAACTAACTTGTTTAATGTAATTTTTTTCATTTTCAGGAACGAGAACGGATGATGAAACCGACTCAAAATCACAGGTAAGATGAATTTCGTTTAAATAGAGAAATATTTTATGCTGAAAATTAAATATTTTTTTATTCGCAAATGCTATGATCTATGTTTGTTATGCAGTAATGGTGAGCTTATATATTATTTTGCTTCTACAGTATTGGGATATTGGTTACACAGTATTGGGATAATAAAATTTAAAATTAGCTTAATTAGTTTGTAGTTTAATTTTTCAGCGCTGTTCATGGCGTATTAATAACAGAAAAATAAAAACTTAAAATTCGAAATGCTTATTTATTTTTAGCACTTAAAAAAAAGAAGAAGAAGATTTATATATTCCCACTGAAATATTGCGAAAAAATTCGAAGGCAGTTTAAAAGCGCCGATATCTAATCTCGGAGATATTTCTGTTATTTACATAAATTCATTTTTAATGCAAACTATTCGCAGCATACATGAAGGTTTGCGAAAAAAAGTAGTGTGATGTAAAAAATCTTTCTTCTCTCATTGTTTGTGAAAAATTTAAAGAAAAGTGCTTTCTAACTTTTTAAGAAATACCGTTAAAAGATATGTCCTAGTTTCAGTGTAAATTATAATAAATACAATAGTCAAGCTTAATCAATTTTTGAGTTCGTGCACATTCCATATTATAATTCAAATGACTATGCATATGACTTTTTTTTTTTTTTTTTTGCTGTAAATCTTTAGAAATAGCCTGAATGCAAAAAACAACGATTCGTAGTGCTTCTCTCCTAACTTTGCTAGGGGATGGAAATTAATAAAAAAATCACTTAAGAATATGCATCTCATGAGTCTTCGTATTTTATTGCTTATCTAAAAAATATATAATAAAGCATGCTTTTATAGCAAGAGTATGTTTCTCATACAAAAATGTGCAAGTAACAAAAATGTGCAAGTAATTTAAAATTTTGCCGTATTTGGACAAAAGTTCACTAATCGAGGGTAGATCATTGCTTATCGCTTGTCTGTTGTAAGCAATTGAATAAAATAACTTCTTTGAAAATATTTTATTTCATGTAAATGAAGTTATATTCCATCTAGGCCAACTGAATTATTTTAAGTTAAAAATTTTTCAATCTTTCTTTTAAAGCTATATATAATGGTACAATTCTCTTAATTTTAAAAGTAAATGCTTTTATTATGTGTATTGATAACGTCATGTGGATTAATTGCTTCTTTATTTCTTGTTAGGAAACGAATCGTCTAATTTTACAAAGTTACGATTCGAGGCGCATCCCCCCCCCTCGCGATATTTTTAAAAATTAAGGGGGAAAAAGATTTTAGGAAAAGTTTTTGGCTTTATTCATATATATCTATATTCTTGTGTATATGTAGTAATTTTTATAATACATTTGAACCTTTTTTTTTCTTTGCCCCAGTTTTAATTAAGAAGTTTTTGTTTTCTTTAATTAGTTTCTATTTTGTATGTAACCGCATTTCGGGATTAATTCCATAAATATTTGTTTTAGTCGCATGAAAACAGTTATATATTTTTATCTCATGTGTCTTTATCACCAATGGGTGCATAATCAATAATAGAATAGGGGTAATTTTTTTTTAGGGCCATAGCAGTCGAATGTGTGTTTTTTACGAACGTAATATATCATTTCATACATATTTTTTACTGTTTAGTCCAGTAGTTTTCTTGGAAAAGATTATATTTATGGCACTTTGTATGCGAACATCCTTTTTGCACATTTCGGTATGCAGACAGTGTTTTTTCTAATGCTGTGATGAAACAAATTTCCATGGCATTGTAGACTTAAATCATCACTATTGCTTCCATTTGTTTTACTTGTTATATTGATGGGGAAGGATAATTGAAGCACTATTTAATGCACTTGTAACTAGATTTTACAGCCGATAATAGAGTGCAGTCAGTATTATGTTGCACTATTTAATCGAAAATTCGATGCAAATTATAATGTATATGTAAGTAAGTATATTTTGTGAAATCAAGGATAATTTCTTAGTGGATGAGATTTATTTAATTTAATGTATACGGAGGATCCGGTTAAGAAAGTCTTGAGTTTCGGACTGTTTTATGTACAAATATTCTTTCAGGTCCCTGTCCCATCCAGAACAAAGTTATAAAAAATTATAAGGGGAATTTAGGGACTTTTAAAATCTGTAGGCTTGCTCGGTAATATTAGAGCTTTTCTTTTGTCACGTTAAGTACATGATCTAATTCAGTAGAGATATAATTAAAACAGGCAAATCGTCGCTTTCCCGCTTTTGCAGAATTTTTTGCTCCTATTGAAGGGGAACTTGTTTTGCCCTCGAAATCGATTGGGATTTACAAAGTCTACGTCGAATACAAGGTTGTCGATTTGCTTGTTTTTTATTTTCCACGTCGGCGGTTTCTCTTGCGTCTCGAGAGGTATAATTAATTGTGGAATGGAGCTTTTTGCTGTTATCAATAGATAACAGCGCTTACAAACGCTCGTTTTAATTAAATGGGCAGCACAGTACTATTTTGCCATGATCGCTAAATGTGTTGGAGGTAGTTTTTTGAATTAAAAGCAGTGATTTTCATAATATTGGCTTCGTTTTCATTATCGCTTTAAAAATTGTACATATTGCATCAAAAGTTTATAGTTATGAATTCTCAGTTATACGCACCTGAAGAGCGACTTATTTGTTTAGTAAAGTTTTTCTATTTTACCTTAAGAATAGTGATAATTGGTATTTCTACTTTAACTATTTCACTAATTAATTAAATGCAAATTACTCAAATTTCCATAACAGGTTTCAACACAATCAGTATATGGTTAAAACAATAGGCTTCTTTGTAAAGTTACGCAATTATCCCCGCATTCTGCATTATTGTAAGAATTAAGCATTATTATATATCCAAACAATCCTTACCCGGCCTTTATTTTTTCCAACCGTTCACCTTAAACGTCTACTTCCAGTTACAAAAATTTTTAACTGAGCAAAAGTTTCATGTTTGGTAATTTTAAATTTTAAAGAAATCAATTTTATAAAAATTACAAGATCTAATAACGTTTTACACGTTCCTTCGGTTCTAATATTTATATTTAGGAAAATTTTATACTGGTTATAGAAAATAAAACACATAAACTGACTTTCGTACGACAAAAATTAAGCAAGATATTTGATAAAAACATTTTGAAATTATAAATTCAGGGGCCGTACACAAATTTAAAAAACGAAATGTTTACATTTCTTCATAGCTAAATAAATATCGTTTAGGAAAAAAGATTTTGATGATAAGAGATTACGTATACTAGCATTTCTATGCAGATAATGAAAAATATTCCCCTAAAAGGAGATCTTATTCTAAAAAATCTGATGTGTACACCACATGACTTCCTTGTACGGAATATTAAATTATATGCATTTTTCTTACATTTCATTTAAACTTATTGGATTCAATTAAAACTACTTCGCCGACAGCGCATAAACCACAATAGAATAAACGCATTCTTTAAAATTCACTCTAGTATTTGTTTACCATAGCGACACTGGCGCTAGATTCACTTAACAGTATTATATTTCGTTCATATTATAACTCATAATGCACAAAATTTATATCATTTAAAGAATAGAATTATCTAATCGTTGCCACATGTTCTATTCAAATACTATAATAAAGCTAGAATGATGTATAAAAGAAATTAAGCAAACAAAACAAAAAAGAAACAGTTTTTCACACACGATTGAGTATTTCTCATTCAATTAATTCAGTTCTCACTTCGCAAGAAGGCAAAAATACATAAAAACTCAAAATATCTATATTAAAAATTACGAAGTAAATCTTAAACACCTATTTTCTCGAAAAAATTCCAGAAAGGATTAAGCATGATTTAATTGGCAATAATAAATGAAGGCGTTATCTTTGTTGTTGCGAAGCTACGTTTCTCTAGATTGGCAACAAATCCACTAGTCTGCTGTTTCAAATGTAAACAAACAATGGCCGCCATAAAAAAAAAAGGCTTAACGGCACTTAAACAGCTTTAAAATTGTTGATAATTCTAAAAATATTGCATACAGATTTACTAAAGGCATAAAAACCTTAACCGGAAGATAAAAACAACATAATTCAATCATTTTTAAAGCAAAAAAAAAAAATGTACAATTTACAAACATATACGAGTAAAGAAAACTGAGATCACTGAGCCGGTAACAGAGTGTAATATATATAAATATATTTATATACGTTTGGTGCGGCCGATTGCAACCAAAATACGAGGTGCACATCTACATGTTATAGCAGTCCTATATACAAAATTTCAACGCTCTGAGGCTACTCATTTTTGAGTTATGCGAGATATGTACTTACGCACGTACGTACATACGTTCGTACAGATGCCACGAAAAATTCTCTTCAGAATTAATTTTAAAGCATTTTTATAATTTTTTTGGAGGAAACGAGTCTTTTATTCTCTCCTTGCGTACAGATATCAAATTAATTTTATTATCGATTTCATATTTTTTAAAACTTTAACGAATATTTGATTAACAAACTCATAAAAGTTTTAAAGGCTTTAAAGCGAGCAGTGGCAAAGTTGTACAGAAAAAACATTTTTATCCCCAGCTCGCGAGACTCTATCGGAAATTCTAAAGATATGCTCATTTTAAAATTATCTTGCGATATTGCTCTTGAACTGAATTTTATGGTTTAAGTGTGAAGAACATGATATTTAATAAACTAATGGTAAAATGTTAGAAAAAACGCCCCTTTGGAAATCTAAATTCTGAATCTAAAATCTGAAACCTTTCAGATTTTATTTATTTATTTATTTTTTTTTTTAAATTTAAGAATATGCAAACGAATCTCTGCGTCATTTAAAATGTTTTTATAAGTATATGTTTACGACCAACGGTTGCGAAAATCAGTTAACGGTGTGGCACAGTGTATATATCCAAGCAGTTCAGCTGGATCCAAACAATTTATATTTATTAATTAATCATAAGGTTCATTAATTAATCATCTGAATGTTTTTTGTGCCCCTGAGATTAAATGAAGTTAGATTTTTGTGCC